GTGTGTGTGTGTGTGTGTGTGTGTGTGTGTGTGTGTGTGTGTGTGTGTGTGTGTGTAAATGGTATGAATTTCTTTTCAGTACATCTGTCTGACCAAAATCACTTTGTCAACACAAACAAATCAGCTAGAGTTAAAGTTTTTTTTTTTCTAAGTAAGGAGGTATCACTCATTGTGAGTCATGTTCATGCCAGTACTGGTCCATTGCTTCACTTTCTATTCTGAGCTAAACAGAACACACCTGACCMTGCTTCAGCAGGACTATTTCACATTAACTTATCAGGCTTATTATGCAGGTCTGACAAACTGATATTATGTACGTAACATGTGTTACCAGATTGAAGGAATTGCATAAAACTAATTTCAGAACAGCAGTTTGGRTGATAAAAGATTCATTCTATTATCTATAATGCTCTTATTTTGCAACAAATGTGTACAGTATTGTGTTGCATTCTTATAGCCCGAAATAAGATTTAAAAAATAACTATGGTCATAATAAATACTTCAGACAGAAATGTTGCATTTTAAATCATGAATGTGACACAATTTTATATAGAGACAGTGTAGCATGCACAGTCATACACAGTTTACAGCTGAAAAAAAAAGACAGAAAAAGAAATCAAAGGCACATTTACAAAGGTTTTTTAAACTTCAACTTGAAGGATAACAATATCACACAATATACAGTATCTAATTTACAGAAACCTTTATATGTATATTTTTCACCATATGGTAACTTCTTTCAGCTGATTTAACTAAGTCACCTGTGAAGCTTTTCTGCATGTGCACTTTGTAGTCAGTATAACGGGTGATTCAATGTAAGCATTGTAGTCAGTTTGCAACAAACTTTTAGATCTCAAACAAAACATGCCAATTAACTGTATGATGGTGTTATTTCTGCAGGTTTTGGTCTTGCCTTCAACCTGCAGCCGGCCCTGACAATCATTGGCACTTACTTCCAGGTCAAAAGGCCACTGGCAATTGGACTTGCTATGACAGGAAGCCCCGTTGTTCTTTCCACTCTCGCTCCTCTCAATCAGTTCTTCTTTGACTCCTTCGGTTGGAGAGGAAGCTTCCTGGTTCTGGGAGCCATTGTTTTGAACTGCTGTGTAGCTGGTGCCCTAATGAGACCGGTCAACAAACGGGTCCAAGTCAAACCCAGTGATGGATCGCCGAGGTGTGAAGTGGCCAGGGAAGCTGCTGCTGCGGGCGTTAGCACGCCGTCAGCTGATCCTCCACCTGAAGATGGTCCAACTGAGAGCAAATGTCCCAGCTACATCTACAGATACATAGACCTCTCACTTTTCAGGCACAGAGGTTTTCTCATTTACCTCGTTGGAAGCGTAGTGATGTTTTTTGGCTTTTTTGCACCAGTGGTGTTTCTGGCTCCGTATGCTAAACATCAAGGGACCGATGAATACTCAGCAGCTCTCCTGCTCTCTATTTTTGCTCTGGCAGATATGTTTATAAGACCTGTAACCGGCATTATAGGCAGCAGCAAATGGGTCAGGCCAAGAATTCAATATTTTTTCAGCTTTGCCGTTTCATACAACGGAGTGTGCCAGCTGCTGTGCCCACTGGCATCTGGATATGAGGGTTTAGTCGTGTATGCTGTCTTTTATGGTTTGGCATTCGGGATCCTTTCAGCTCTGCTTTTTGAAGCTCTGATGGACTTAGTTGGAGCTCATCGCTTCTCCAGCGCTGTTGGACTAGTCACCATTATCGAGTGTGGACCAGTGCTTCTTGGACCCCCAATTTCAGGTTAGTGAAGTTGTATCTCTAACCTTAGACGATGAATATGATTCAAAATCGTTGAAAACTTAATGTTGATCTTCTCTTTTTTAGGAGCTCTGGTTGATGCTTTTGGTGACTACAGATACATGTACTACGTGTGTGGCATGTTTCTGCTGGCGCCCGGCGTATTTCTCTTCATCATGCATTATTACAACTACAAGAAGCTGGATGAAGAGCAACGGCAGAGTCTGTCATTGGAGATCAGGGCTTCTGAAGAGGCACTGAAACTTCGAATAAACCAGGAGGTTGAAACAATGAAATGCAAATATGAACTTGAAGCAGCTGACTGAGTTTGTCTGACCAGTTTTTACATCTCTATATTCATATCTGTTAAAAATTATTTTATATTTTTGATCTATGTGAAAACAGTAAATTCAGTGGCCCACAAATCACCTGGAACAGATCAGGGCCATTGTTTTCCTGCTTTGATGAGACCTTTTTTTTTATTTGAGTGGATGAAAAAAAAAGGATTGAAGGGCAATACAAAGGTGTTTGTTAGCATGTTACCACTAGATGGCAATGAACCCTACTATGTAAGAAAAGTGTAACATACAATAACTCTTAAATTAAGTTGCACCATTTTTATGTCTTTACAGACTCATTCAGCTGAATAGCCTCTCAGTTAACAGTGAAAATGCAGAGTTCCTTGATTCTACAGCTCCTCTCATTCTGCCCATAAATTCCGATCTCACTGTTAGAGAAGCACTAAATTTATTTTTTTTTGTTCTTCGTGTTCTCGTCTGCAGTAAAATACATTTTTAGTGTCACGGGGATCAGTAAAAGCTGTTTTACTGCAGCCCTGCTTTGGTAAAGTCAAATAAATTCACTACAAAGTTTTTGTATATGATTTAAATATGAGTAGAAAACTCTGAATTTCATAAGAAGAGCCATTTGCATTTGTGGCTGAACTGTTAAAATGCTTTACTTAGCCTTACTGACATGAAAACTATTGTGCATAATACAGATTGACCACTGCTGCAGGACTGACCTCCAGAGATTCTGCTATTAAAAAAAGAGTTTTGTATCTTTAATGAGTACTAATGTGTACAGTAAATTGCTATTATGTGAACTAAAAAGTAGATAAAAAAAATTGGACTTATCTGCTGCACTAAAGAAATTCCCTGCCAGTTCACCTTCTCTTTACAGGTCAAACTTAACACATTATGATTGTTTCCCCTGCATACACAGAGCAGGATTCAGGCTGCTGAAAACACAAAGCTATCATTACAGATATTTGCTTAAACAGTCCATCTGTATCACGTCCCTGCAAGGTTCATATCGACTCTCTTCTCAGATGGACGAAGGCTTCTCCCACGAGTGAATCAATATGCTTCGTTATACCCCCAGATAACTTTGCAAATCCCTGCTTCACGRGTGGTTGCTCTTCTTTTTGTTTCAACTAAACATCACTGATTCAAGATTGACCCAAGTTGGATGAATTTAGCACCGTGGGTAAACCTCTGTCAAGTACGAATACCTGTTTGGTTTAATGTTGCTCACATTTAGAGAGGAGCACCCTGTAATTCTGTTAATGCAAGCATCTTAATTATTAAAAGGTGAAAGGTGGGCCAGAACATTTTTAATTGCCTGTTATCAAAGTTTCTCATGAACCACTGGGCAAATTTTAATGAAACTGGCTGGAAATAATCACTGATGAAATCTACGACCACCTGATTCAAGATGGCTGCCTCAGCTAACTGTGCTAAAAAAAAAAGGGCAAAATAACTATAACTCTGTAAATTTTACAAATACTGAGCTGAGGTTTGGTGGCGTAGTAGCCAAGATTGATTCTCAGTACATAGTTTAAGTAAAACAATGCACTTGCTGTTTAAAACTTTGTGAGTATTTACATGCAGTTAACCCTGCTGGTCACTTAACTAACAGACAGGAAGGATTTTAAAGAAACTCCCAGGAAATAATCATTAAATCTAGAACTGATTAACTTTTAATCATTCCAGCTGCAGAAAGCTTTAATCAACATAAGCAAAATCAACAATGTCTACAACTTACTTTTTCAAATACTGAACTAAAATTTGATGTGGTGGTAGTTGAGGCTCAGTCATAACACACAGTGTAAACTTGTACTATTCCAAGGTTTAATCAGAAGGTAAACAACTCGGTCATTTCTCAAAATTTTAGTCTYAAACTCTGGTGGCCAGTATGTGTTCACTCAAGAAATAATGGGCTTTTAATTTTATGTAAGCTTTCATTTTTTTTCAGTGATGGGTTATTAATAAGTGATTGTTACAACCCACTGTAACCCATCATTGTCAACRTTTAACACAAATCACTTTTCTTTTTATTATATGAAGTAATGTGCACATTTACAATATATAACTTAAAAATATAAATAAAGATTTCTGAATTCAAATTTCACACTTTGAATTATCTGACTGCAATTTTTCATTTAGATACATCTGACAAGAAAATTGTGCCTGAAGATGAATTTACTATGTCAGCTCACATGCTAAACAGTTTTTTTTTCATCAGAGAAGGTGTTAGTGTAKAAAATGTCAAACCACATTCTGCATGTGTTATAACAACATTACTCTGGAAATAAAAAGTTTGGCCTTTTTCAAACTACACATATTGATGACATTTTGGCGCAAGGGGGGCCCTAAACAGCTGAAATTCTAAAAATGTTAAAATATTTRCTTTTTAAAATTGCTAGTTTTATCATTTTCATACCATTTTAGTTGTCAATAGTGAGTGTCTTAGCTGTGACATACAGTAGGTCATAAAGCATATAAAGAAAGAAGCAAAATTTTTGAACAGGATAGACTTATGTTTAGTCAAATGAGAGCCTGATTTAAAAAAAATCAAGCTTAATAAACAACTTCTCCTAAAAAACCACTAACTTCATGAGTTTGTTAGTGCAGCTGTTTTAAAGCAAGAATACTTTTGGTTTGTATTTTTACTAGGGTTTATGCTTCTGTTGCTTTACTCCCACAGTTCAACAACAGATTGCTTAGAGAGTATCAGTAAGTGTTGGTTGTTGCTGTTTGTCTCACAAACTCAAGAAGTATAACAGCTGTGATTTGGCTTCATCTTGTAAATCTAAACAAGACATGAAAGATGCTAAACTGTTGACAAATTATTTACTTTTTTGCACATTATTCTCAGAGTTTTAGCTAAAGTGGAAAAATGTAGCTCTAAAAATGATCCGTACAAGTTAGTATATAATTAAGGTCAGTAAATTGGTTTGGACAACCTCAGCGAGCTCAGAGCACGCAAAACAGTAAAAGGTGAATATTAGTTATTTTAAAGGCTTATAAAAAAAACGGAATAAAAACAGACCAAAACCAAATCAGATTTAAGTGCAGCTCTGGTGATATGCTAGGGGGTACACTTTATTTGATTATCTTACAATGTTTTAATAATTTAACCATCACAATGATCATGTAGCTGGGACTAGTTTGTACCTGACTCTGAGGGATAAATATTTTAATGGGTGCACATTAAGTGAGGATCTTTAATTAGTGACAGCTCCCAAAAGCTTTGTCTCATCTCCAAACTGAACAGCTTGAGTATAATCACTGTGATGAACTGTGACTGATGTCAGTATATCTGACCCTAATTGGCAGCAGGAAGATTGAATCCAGGCAGCTCGTCGTCTAATCCCGATGATATCTGCGACCCCGCTCCCTCCCGCCACGCTGAAACATGTTAAAACCATACTGCTGGTTACAGTGGTCGCACAACAATTTCATCTTCAGCCACACGTGCAGCTGGGATGTTTGTACGGGAGGCAGTGCTACTTTCTGGTTAACTCAACACGTATCCCAATAATCTCTGTTAATCTTCTTTACCCATGGCTGCAGAACTAATCTGTCTACACAATATTTGTCGGCACAGGGAGAGCGATGAATGGCAAAGACTTTCAGAAGCCCCGTGGATGGAGCTATTACTGACACATCACTGGTTGTAAATAAACACTGATAACCAGGGCAGCTAGCATGAGCACACAGGGCATGTTGACATGTTCTAGTAGACAGAGAGGCGCAATCACCGTGGAGCCTTTTAGGTCCCCCCACCCCCCCGCTTCCTCAGACAACAGACACCATGTCCTCTGAGTGTCTGTCACCCGTGATAGGACACAAGATTTACAGGGACCAGTTGGTGAAAACAAACTGCTCTCTATACTTTTCATCATCAATCACGTCTTTCAAACAGCCTTTGAAACTTTACTTATTACAGATTATGGATAATTAGGCCATGGTTTCATAGAAAGTTACTTTCAATACAAGCACAATGTGAAGAACAGTAAAAGCCATTCAATTAGCTGGGGCATTATAAAAAATAACTGTTAAAATACCTGTGTTGTACGGAGCCCCTCTAGTGACATTGGATGAAAAAAATGTGTGGCCACAACATTGTTAATGCATGGCCACAAGATATTGCAGTTATTTCCATACAGACTGTTGATTGTTTACATGGACAAGTTTGAATTAATTTTTATTTTTATTTTAACACAGGACTGGATGACATACTTCTGTCACTTTCGGGTTGGCAAGTTATTTTTAGCATTATATGTTGCAGCTTTAAAACACAGGTGACGACTAGAGTTGTCTTCGTCTAAAAAGATTTATTTTCTTTTTTAGCTCAAAATGGGCTTCTTTTTCACCCTGTGCCCACTGTAGAAGAAGTTGGAGTTACGTTATGTTATTTTACGGAACACAGTAACAAAAACAACACACACTTCGGGCATTTAGTGTCATCTCATGAATACTAGTATGTAAAATTAACCATTTAGGTTAACTCTTTGGATTAAACATACACCAAAAAATAAAATAAAAAGTGTGAGCTGCCTTTGAACAGTTAAACAGATTAAAAAAACAGCATAATAATGATTTATAATCTGACTCTAAAGATGTATTTCTCACAAAGAGACACTGCTCAAAATGATGTCCACAAGTTTGTAGCCACACATACACTAACGCTTGGCCACAGGTTATTGAATTTTTTTGGCACTGTAGAGTTAAAAACACATCGTGGCCACACATTAACTAATGCGTGGTGACAATTATTATATTATGGCCACACTTTAATTTTTAAAAATCCAGTGGTGTTTGTAGAATTTGAACTCCCTGCCGGAGTCAACTCTCCATGACTAAAAAGTTTTTTTTTTCCTGATTAGCTTATTTTGCTAATGATTTTCCCAGAACGTTACCCAACACAGAAAAGCAAGAAAAGAAAATTGATCAAACTACATTTTTGATGTAAAACTGTTCAATTAAATTTACTTCAGTTTATTTATATAGCGCCAAGTCACAACAAACCTGGTCTCAGG